CGTGGTTGGGCATGGCGACGGCGGGCGGCAGCGGCCGGAGCTCCTCAGCGGCGGGTGGCGGCGAGCAGCGGAAGGCAGAGTGGCCGACCCCTCGCCTTATATAGCGGCGCCGCGCCCGCCCCTGACCAATGGCCGCCAGCGGCACCCCGGAGTGATGCCGCACGAGGCCAATGGGCGGTCGGGGAGGCGGGACTCAATGAGCGGCAGAGTGGGGCGGGACCCAGGGCGCCTGCGCGCAGGGGAGAAAGAAAGGGCGGGGGGCGATGGGGGGAGGGGAGGGAAGTGAGGTGCCGCATGGCGCCAAGGGCTTTCATATCGGCTGAGCCCAGCTGACAGGGCTTCCCTTGGAAGTGGGCCAGGCCCTCCGGGGGGATCCCCAGTGCCCTCATGTCTCCGCCTGCCAGCCCCACGCATTGGGCAGGGCCCCCCCCCCGGGGGGAAGTCAGGAGCCCGGGTGCTGCGTCTAGCGCCGTCCTGCTTCCTCCCTTGGCCTCATTCAGGGGCGGTTGTGGCGTCCCCCGGCCCCCGCAGGCCCTGGGGAGCACAGCAGATCCCAGAGCTGCCCTGAGAAGGGAGCCAGGGCCCCAGGCCAGCGCGCTGGCGTGTCCACCCCATCCCACCCCATGTGCGATGCATTTCCTATCCAGCCTGGACGCTTGCACAAGACCGCTCTGCTCCGGCCTGTTTTGTTCGCAACAGGGGTACCTCATGCAGGAAAACTGCAGGGAAATGACTGTCTCCCTGGGGAGATGTCCTGCCCCCGGGCCACCTTGGCAGCTTGCCCCTGTGCTTCGAAATCACCGTCTTGCATTCAGCTCCAACGCCTGGACAACAGCGAGGAGAAAAACTCCCCGCTAAAAAAATCCAGCGTCCTTTTCCCTTCGGTGATGGGCCGAGAGAAACACGCTCCTTCCCATCCCGGAAGCCTGCCCGCGCGCCCTCCAGCAAAGCGAGGGCAGATCTAGCTTCCTCGCTTCACATTTTTTGGTTATTATATCAGCATAAGCAACTGTTCCTGACCCATGTGACTACATCTCACTTGAAACCAGCGTTCCCGACACTGGAAAGGCCCATGGGTGTTTCATCTGCCTGTTCGCCACATAAAAAAAAATTGGAACGATCTGTCCCAAAACCTCCCCACTTCTGATTTAACCCGGCTGGCATCCATTTCCCAACCCCGGGCTCCCCATGCTGCTCACAGCTGCCCTCTGGAAAGTCTCCAGCATGTATCTAAGCTAATTTTCTCATCTATAAAGCGGAGGTACTGGTGCTTTTTGTACTTGTGCCTCCAGTATAGCTCTTTGCAACTTTTAGGTCTCCATGCACTTTCCAAAGGATCATTGAGAAAGGATCTCTTGAGTGTTTCGTAGAAGTGGTTCCCCTGCTTTACGGGTGGCAGGTCTGTGTTATGGCAGGATTGGCAGCAGGCTTGCACAGAGTTTTGACCAGGGTTTCGCAACCCGTGGGTCACAAGAATATATGAAAGGGTCACGAACAAGTTTTAAAAACGGATTCTCCTTTAAAGGAGAAAAACATGGGATATCATGGCTTTTCCCTTGCAAGCTGGCAGGGGCCCAGCCTGCCAGGGGCTGCTTGGAGCGATTTAAAGACGCAGAGGAATGTAGAGAACAAACTCCACATGGTTTTAGCTAAGGTGTCTTGAGCCAAGCTAACCGGCTCACTGGGTTTGACATGGCTGATTTTCTAACCATGGCGGATCTAATCTATCTGCAATCTGTTTGACACAGTGCCACAGCTGGTGGGGGAGTGACTAGTTCAGCTGGAAAATAGGGTGGTTAGCACATGAACTGCAAGGCAGACAAGGCGAGACAATAGTGAAAGGGGAGACAAAAACAGTCTGCTGAAAGAAGTCCCTGGGTGGATGGGAGATCTGGGTTGGAATTACTCAAGGATCAGTCTCAGGGGTGGATCTCATCATATCTATTCATGGATGATCTTGCTTGTGCGCTACTAAATACTGCTGAAGACACAGCCAGGAGGCAGGGTCCACTGGGAGGAGGATCGGAATATCACACAGGTGGAGATGAATCACACGGATTTCTGCTTCGCTCTGAGACGGAGTAGGAGAGAGTGGTGGCGTGCTTGATCTCAGCTATCATGCAGCTATGAGAAAGGCAGATTTGATCCTTGGATACACCCACGCAGGTGTTTCCTGGAGATCCCTTTCCAGCCCTGGGTTCTGGGTGCCCTGTGCCTCATGGAATGGCCTGGGCTCTGTGGCTGGCCTGGTGTTCACATCCTCCTGAATGCAAATCCCCTGATGCACCTGGTCACTGAAAGCAGGGGTCATAGGAACAAGAAGAAAGCAGGGCTGGAAGAGGCCTCACAAGGTCACCTAGTCCAGCCACAGTCCATCAGGGTGGAGGCCTGAGAGCATGGGGGCCAGCAGGGCCAAATCCAGAGGTTCCCCCTGCATCAGATCCCCACTCCCTGGTGATTTTACCCTCCCCTCCCGCCCAGTTTCAGCCTAGTGTAAATCCACATCAGCAGGGGCACAGACAGGGCCTCTCAATGATCTGCCAAGAGACAGCCAG